CAAATACCCGCGCTCGGCGACGCAACATCATTTAGGCACGCGTTCGAACTGCTTCATCGAGGAATCGTCCTCCTTTGCGTTTGCTTCTACGGCGCTCCGGTAAAACCTCCTTTACCAGCAAAAAGGGGGAAAGAAATGCGGAAAAGAGGCATCATCCCGGTTTCGATCTGCCTTTGATAAGGAAGTTGTTGTGGTTTGGGGGCTGAGGTTTGTACTAGCGTTTTTGGCTCATGTTTGCAAGGAGTGAGCGGCTTGATGTGTGATTCTTCCTCTCCCAAAACAAGTCTTCAGCCTCTGTCTTCCTTCAGAAAATGACTGGCGCACCCCAAGGGAGCCCTGCTGTGTAATTTGGGGGTAATAGAGGGGAACAGACCTCGGAGGAAGAAAGGTTTCCAACATCTGAACAGAATTGTCTTAAATGAGAGAAATTGGGGTGTTAGAAAAAACAGGCACGCTGCCAGCTTTTTCTGACTCAGAATAAGCGACTTCTGGGGAGAAATGGAGAAAAACTTGCTTTCGGGGAGCTACTGCAGGTCTGCCTGCCTTTCATTGCCACCTGGGTGACTGTGTCCTGGGACCTGGCCTCCCAGAAGGGAGAGGGAGACGGGGAGCGCTTGCACACGTGGGCCTACGGCAGTTTGCAGGCTGACAGGTGAAATATGGGTTATCCACGGACCAGTACACTCCCTCCCTCGGGGGCTCATGGCTTTCGGGGAAGGCAGTGCAGCTGCGTTCCCTGCCATCCCCTGCACGTCCTGGGATGCTGTTCCCGGGATGATGCTGTGCTGCGCTCTAGGCACCTGATTTCTCCCAGGGGAGTTGCCATGTCCTTCTAGGCATCTTCGCTGGGCAGTTTCTGAGCCTTTGGCTGGGGTTTGAGAGGCATGGCACATCTCTGGCACGTTTGCTTAGAGGTGCTGGGGCTGGGGTTAAAAGTTAACGATGCGCTTTCCTTATTTGGTTCTAATTTAATTTGGGAAGGCAGCAGGGAGACAGAGGGCACTTAGTCTGGTAAGTGCTGTTCCCTTGATGGGAGTTAGTAGCTTGCACGGCGTGCATGGCGTCGAATTCGTAAACTGACCTTTGCCTCCATCAGGTTCATTTTCATTTATAATATTTAAAAAAATAAAAATAAATCCCAACCCCCAACCTCTTATTTATTCTTTGGGCAGCGAGGTCATAAATCCTTCAGTGTGTTTGGATTTATAGTATTACTGTGCTTTTGCTGAGCCCCACGTCCCACTCCAATCAAATGACAAGGCTTTCCGTACCTGTGCGGGTGATCGCGTTTTCCCTCCCCCCTCCTCCCTCCTAGCTGCTCCTGATCCGCATCTCCTCGGGCTCCCTGCGGCCTTTTTGGGGAAAGGTGGGCCCTTGGCACCCAGAGGAAGGGACAGGAGGGAGATTAGGCATCTTTTAGGGTTATCAGCGTTTGCGTGTGAAGCATTAACAACTTCCAGGTATCTTCTTTCCTGGCCCAGAATAAAAAAATGCTAAAACACTTTTGTAGGATGCGTTTCATCAGCCGTGCTACAGGCCTCCTCCAAAACCGGAGCGTTTCCGTGGTGGCTGGAGAGAAGGGGGAGATATAAATATCTTTTTCAGCTCTGCTTGGCTTCTCCCCAAGAGAAATAGAAGCGAAAGTCGAAAGTAGAGGCTCGGCCTTCTGAAATCTCTTCCAGAGCCCCCAGGGACCCGAACGCAGGATGCCTTCATGATGGGAAGCCAACCCCCGGTGTTTCGGAGGTCTCAGAGGATGATGTTTGAGGGGTCTCCCTCCCCACTGCCCGAGGCAGATCTCGGCCGTACGGAGCTTCAGCTGTGATCCCTGCGCCTGGTGGCCGCTGTTGCGGGAGGCCTCAGGGAGCAAAGGAGCATCGGTGAGAAGCTGGCTTGAAACGAGAGCAGAAAAAAATGTCTGTGGTTGTCCTCTAAATCTTGTAGCATGTTTACTCTCAGAAAGTACAGCTACATTACCAAAAATCAATAGTTCTGGCAGCGTTCTCCCTGGGAAGCACACACACACTCGGACACACGAGAGGTGGTAGGTCTTAAAAAAGCCAAGGGAATACAAAGTGCTTTAGTACAAGGGTTTTGTTTCACTTTCAGCAGTGTTCAAATGGAGGGCCCTTCACCTGGGCAGTGTCTTCTGGGACTTTCTGATTGTCCTTCTGGTCCGATGTGCCCGAGGCTGTGCAAGGCAGGAGGGGCTGGGGGGAGGGTTTGTCTCATTACCTAATTTTTGCTCTGAAGTACACGTGTTTTGTAAGAAAAACAGGTTGTGGTGTACAGACATAATACAAAGAAGTGTTTGAAAGACTCTTCCTTTGACGGTTTCGTGTAAAGGTATGACTGCCAGGGCTGCTGATGGGACTGGCACATCCCAGCATTTCGTTTTTCTTCATGCTTGTGAAGACTTCATTCTACAGAAATAAATGTGTCTCGTCCCCTTTCTCTTTTAAAAAAAATCCTTTTCAAATCCTAGTATCTCCTTGCTTACCAGCGCGCCTACTGCTGCCTCCGTTAGGAATGGAGAGAAATTATTGACGTTTTTCCTGGGTGGAGAGTGCTCTGCGAGGGAAAGGAGTGACCATTTTGACAGAGGTGGCTGTTAAGGTTTGGGGTGAGTGGGCACAGTGGTGGGGCAAGTGCTGCAGGACGCCCCGGAGACCTGGAAATCGTCCTTACTCCTCAGATTGGCCAAAGCAAAAAGAGAAAGGAGTCCAACCCCTTTTTACTAACATCTCTTATTAATGAGACATTTTATCCTAAGTCCTCTAACATGAACTGTGCAGGCTTTTGAGAACATAATTAATCTTTAATTGTATAAATCTTTAATTGTATAAAATGGAGTTTGTATGGCTGTAGTCGTTTCTCTTCTCTTTCCTCTCCCTGTTTGAGATGCTCCCTTAGCACAACTTTTTTTCAACAGGGTGCCCAGCTTTAGGGCAGTGGCCATGCAGAGCCGGACACACAGTATCGCTTGAAGCCAGGCTGCTGCGGAGGGGCCTCTTGCTGTTATGGGGACCTGCATGACCCCCGTGGCGGGGCACCTGCCTCCTGCCAAGTACCCTCTCGGAAGGACTGGCAGCAAGTTGCGGCTTAATATGAGTCTGAGTGATTAGTGGCGAATTACCTCGGGCCCTGTGCAAAGTTAAGCCCTTGTGCCAGGGTCTTAAGGGACAAGCGTCACCCCAAAGGCAGGATGAGGTGCAGGTGAGCCAGAGGAGCAGCACGGGCTGCCCACTGCCTCTCCTAGGCACGCACGCTGTGACTAAATGGTCCGGCGCAGAGAAACTCAGTTCTTCGCGGCGTTTGTGCTAACCTAGATGTTTTTTTGCGGAAGCAGCTTGGGGGCCAGCTGCCCGTGCTGCCACGCAGGCGGGTCTGGGGAGGTGGCAGGTGGGCTGCTGGCAGCCAGCGCTCTGCAAGCATGTCTGCCTGCAGCTGCAGCCCTTTCAGACCGAAGCAGGGGTTTAGCAATCACCGAGAGCCGGCTTGGCGCGCATAAATACTCCTTCTCTTCAGAGATGCCGTTCTGACTGTCGTGTGTCAATGAGGAATTGCTGGCTTCAGCCAAATCCTGAGAAGAGAGTTGTCCGGACGAGCTGGCAGCCTGGAGCAGGGTCTGGATTCATCATGGTGCCAGGCATCTGATCTGCGACCCGCGTACCTCGGTGGTGCTCCCTGGCTGGAAGTCCTGCTTGCTCTGCCCTAAAGATGGAATTGCTTTTCCTCGGGCACTTTTCCTTTGTGGAGATGTGACAGCGAAACCGGGAATTGTCCTAAAAGAAACCTAGCTGGTCCCCTTATGGAAAAAGGGATATTTGCAAAGTAGAACACTCTTGGGAGAACCAACAAAAGAGCAGTCATGCCCAAATCAGTGCCAGGCAGAGCCAAATGCCTTTTTGGAGGAGGAGAAGCGCAGCCTTTCAGATGCTAAGTTAGGTATTTGGAGGGGTTTCGATCATTCCATTAGTTGTATGGAGGAATTGGTGCACCATTGGCTCTAGGAGGATGTGGTGTAATTAATGCATTGGCTTTTGCTGGCCATTGGCATCAGTGCCTTCTGTCATGGCAGGAAGGGGTACACCACTGTCTTGATCCGAGGCCTGCAGGGACAGATAGAAAATTCAACAGGAGGCAGATGGAATGGGCATTGCCGAGATCTCGGACAGGGAGATGTCACCGCTTAGGCCCTCAGTGACTCACGGCGCTCCCGTTAAGCCGGAGTTTGGAAATTAGCATCTCCACTGAAAAGCTTTTCCTAGGGCACGACTGATGTTTCCAGTTAGAGCAATTTCCTGCATCTTAATGGAACGAGAGGAGCACTTTACGCTTGGACACGACATGCCTTTCCAGCAATATCGCTGAACTGCCCCGTAAGAAATTCTGATGTCATTTTTTTGTGGTCCGCTTCATAGATGGGATTAATCAGTGGAGACACGCCCTCCGGGTCCCAGCGTTGGCTTGCTTTCATTAATTTGCACTCAAGTCTCTGCGGAACAAAGAAGGATTTGTTGAACAAAGCGGGGTCAGTGCTGGGATGAAGAGCCTTGCGCCTCTAGCCTGCTCGTTTGAATTAGGACTGAGCCGTAACTGTAAGTTGTACGTCCTGTGGCTTGGATTGGGAAAAGCGTCCTGGCCTCAATCCTTGCTCCTGCGGAGCCTGCGACCTCAGGAGCCACCCCGAGGTGGTGGCCTTCGGGGTGGGCCTCCCGAAGCTCCCTAAATGAGACAAAGTTGGAAAGCAAGGTAGGGAAGGTTTGAACAACCGCTGCCGTAGATAGAGAGGTGTTCGTTTCATATCCTGTTTGCTTTAAATGCTGTGTCTAAGGGGGGAAAACAGCTTTAAGAATGACTTTTTTTTTCTTTTAAAGGCAAAACAAGTCTATGAGCGGAGGCTTTGTGCAGAGCTGGTGCTCGCCAATCATCCGTGGACCAGCTGCAGGCTGCGTTTCTCCAGGTGCCCCTCAAATGTTTTTTCTCCTCTCTTTCAGCTCTTTGAGAACTTCTACTTCGGAGAGGTGCAGCTGGACTCGGTGCGTCTTTCCCAGAGGTTCTCCTCGGATGCCTCCGGCTACTAC